CCAGCCAATCAGAACACAGCCAAACCCCCAACCAATCAAGTCACACCCCCACTAGCAGTTAAAAGGAAGAAGCAACTGCAAGCTCACATTACTCCAAGAAGCACAGAGCTGAAGATACAAGCCTGAAGATGATGAATGAGATTTCATCGAAACGTCACCAAAATACTTCCAATTTTACACGGGAGAAAATCCGAATTACCAAAGATCCACATAGAAATACCCGCGAAAACCTCAGAAAACAAATATATATATATATATTTCCAGAAAATTTCCTTCGATTTTTGCGGATTTGTGTTGGATTTGGATTTTACAAGCAACTTTAAAAAGGAACAGCAATGAAACATCGGAGTCACAACGTGACTCAACCGTAACAACGTTCAGACAACAAAACGCACCACGCGAAGTCAAATGCTGCTTTTCCTGTGGCCGGCCTGTGAAACTCCATGGGACTTGACATTTTTTTCGGTGGGGGGGAAAATTGGAATTTCTTTCTTCTTCTTCTTCTTCTTCTTGTTCTGGAAACAGTGGAACTCATCAAGACTTGAAATGGTTTTAAAAGTTGGGTTTTTATTCTTTTTCTTCTTTTTGTTTGGGAGACTGTGGAACTCCCTGAGACTTGTAATTTTGGGGGGCAAATGATTTTTTTTTCCTCATTCTGGACACTGTGGAACTCACTGAGACTTGACATTTTTTGAAAAAAATAGATTTTTTTTCTTTTCCTCATTCTGGAGACTATGGAACTTACCGAGACTTGAAATTGTTTGAAAAATTTGGAATTTCTTTTTCTTCTTCTCATTCGGGAGACTGTGGGACTCACCGAGACTTGTAATTTTTTGGGGGGGGGAAAATATGATTTTTTCTCTTGTTCTGGAGATTCTGGAACTCCAAGCGACTTGAAATGGTTTGAAAAAATAGGAATACTACTTCTTCTTCTTCTTCTTCTTCTTCTCCTCCTCCTTCCTCTTCTTCTTCTTCTTCTTCTTCTTTTTTCTTCTTCTTCTTCTTCCTCCTCTTCCTCTCTTCCTCCTCCTCCTAGAGACTGTGGAACTCCCTGAGACTTGTATTTTTTTTTTAAAGTTGGATTCTGCCCCCCTTCTTCTCCTTCTATAGACTATGGAACACCCCGAGACTGGACTTTTATTTTTGGAAACTGGGTTTGTATAATATTTACGAAGGGGGAGAACCGGACAAAAATGTAGGCTTCTTGACTTTGAATGATGTTGAATGATCGGGAAGATGCGACGGCTGCTGCAGGACATTGCACCGGGTGCGAAATAAAACGAAGGCTGAATCAATGGAATGCCTCGATTAATCCAGCTGCTTTGAAAACTGGGTGGGGGAGGGGGGAATGTGGGGGAGGAGAGAAATGGTGTAGGGTCCTCCTGTTTAGGTGGGGGGTGGGTGGGGGTTGGATTAGATGACCTACAAGTTCCCTTCCAACTCTGATGATGCGTAATCTGATCCCCTTTGTGAGATGTGAGGGTCAGTGGGGCAGGCGGGGTGGGGAGCTCTCTCCCTCCACCTATCTTCCTTCCTCCCCTCCCTCCTTCCCTCCTTCCCTCCCTCCCTCCTTCCCTCCTTCCTTCCAACTCCAGAGGACAAGCTAACTTGGGCACCAAATGGGAAACGGAGGCAGAAGAAGTCCCTAATGGGGCTGGAGGATCCCATCACCCCTTTGTTTGCTACCCATAATCCCCCTCTGCCCCACCCCCACCCCTTCCACCCTGCCGTTCCCCATGCCGTGGGGACTGGCCTCTCCTTCATTTGACCTTGGATGATCTGCAGGGAAGAGAAACCCACCCAGTTCAAAGGTTGGGGTTGTTTCTTTTTTTCCCTCGGAGAGGTTTCCCTTCCGATTCGAGAAGATTCTTCAGTTCGGACAGAAGGGCGGAGGATGGAAGGATTGATACTCCTTGCGAACAGCTGGTCGTTTGCGTCCGAGCCGTTGAGGCTGCTTGGAGGTTCACCTGCATCATCAAGGTCCCCTGAGTAAAGCATGATGGGGGTGGAGCCTCCACAGCCATTTACTCCACCCTCCCATAAGGTTCCACCCCCATCTGCACTACTCAGCTGGATCCCAAGGACGTGGACGAACCTCCAAGCAGCCTCTCTAGAAAGGATATTTGCGGTTATTTGCATCCTTTTTAGAGAGCCGTTGAGGTCGCTTGGAGGTTCGTCTGTCTCCTCAGGGTCTTCTTAATGGTGCAAATGGAGTCGGAGCCTTCACAGCCATTTGCTCCCCACCATTTGGACTAAGGTGCCACCGCATCTCTACTATTCAGCTAGATCTCGAGCGCACAGACAAACCTCCAAGCGGCCTCAACGGCTTTCTAAAAAGGATGCAAATGACCAGCTGTCTGCAAAGAGTATCAATCCTTCCATCCTCCACCAGAACTGAAGAAGCTTCTCAGATGAGAAGGGAAACCTCTTCAAGGAAAAAAAAAAAACCCAAACTCTTGGATTGGATGGATTTATATTACCTGTGAAAAGCTGGTCATTTGAGTCCTTTTCATGGAGCCCTTGAGGCAGCTTGGAGGTTTGTCTGTGTCCTCAGGATCTGAGGGGTGCAAAAGGGGGCGGAGCCTCCACAGCCATTTGCTTCACCCTCATTTGGACTAAGGCTCCACCGCCATCTGCGCGACTCAGTTGGATCCAGAGGACATGGACAAACGTCTAAGCGGCCTCAATGCCTCTCTAAAAAGGATGCAAATGACCAGTTGTCCGCAAAGAATAGCAATTCTTCCATCTTCCACCAGAACTGAAGAAGCTTCTCAGATGAGAAGGAAAACCTTTTCGAGGAAAAAACACCATAAGGTCTCATTGGTGGACCCTTTTCCAGCATGGTTTGAAGATAGTCATCAACTTACGACCACAATTGAGCCCCGTTGCTAAGCAAGGCAGTTGTTCAGGGAGTTTCGCCCCGTTTTACAGCTTCTCTTGCCAGAAGAGATTCATTAAGTGAATCGGGGTGTCATTAAGTGAACCCAGTATCCCCCCCCCCCCGCCCCTTTGAGGTTCCTTGTTAGAAATACCCAGCTGGAAAGGTTACGAATGCCGATCTGGCACCCCCGGACATTTTGCCCATTGTAAGTGTGAAAATTGGTTGTTAAGTTGCTCTTTTCTGCGCCATTGTAACTTTGAACGGTCGCTAAACAAATTGCCCTTCATTGAGGACGCCTTCCGCATGATTGACTTCCAATCCTCACCCAGAGCAAAGTTCGCTTAACAACCATGGATTCACTTAATGACCATTGTGATTCACTTACCAACCACCGCAAACATGGGTTTTTAAAATCACAGGACCCCCCCCCCGTTTTATTACAATCCTCTTGGTTTACGACTGTGAAGGGCTGCCACCATAAGTAGAGGACTGCCTTTACCAAGCCGGACTTGGGACAATGGAGCACATGAAAAAGAACGATACGATCGAGAGGACAGAGGAATCCAGATCATCCTCAGCCTTATGACCACGACTGGACTAGACCTTTCTGTCACTAAGCAGGACTGTTGTTAAGTGAGTTCTGCCCCATTCAACTGGCTTTCTTCTTCTTGTCCCCCGTCGTTGGTCGTTAAGCAAAGCATCAACTTCACTGGTGGGAAGTCCATCAAAGGGTCGCCGCAACCGTTGTAAAACCGAGTCGGGGGCAAGTATCTGAATTTGGACCCTGGGGATGCTACCACGGTCATAAGTGTGTAGGGGGAAAAAATCGAGCTTTTCCCCCCCCGCCCCGGGTCATTGTCACTTCCGACGGTCACTAAACAAACTGTCATAAAGTCGAGGACCGGTTGTAAAAGATGGCCAGACCAGATAGACAGGACCCAAAATGAAATCATCTTTTAAAAGCCAGGTTTTCTCCAAGCCTCATTTGAAACAGCAGCAGAATTGGGGTCCTCCGCATTTGGGCAGGGAGTAAGGCAATCCTGGGGTCTTGATAGATGGCCTCAAAGGAGCCCCAGGGTGCCAACCCTGTGGGGCTGAATTGAGCGGATACAATGAGAGAGAGAGAGAGAGAGAGAGAGAGATGGTCTTCTCAATTTAAATTTTGTTTTAAAAAAAATATTTATTAAAAGCATCGATGCGGCTGGCCAATGAACTCAATGAACTCTGGAGGGCTTCCAAAACTACAACCCCAATAAGCCCCGCCCTCCTGGTGACATCACACCAAGCGACCAATGGTGGAGCTCCGTATTACCCTGGGGAATCCCTCGATCCTTTCATAGAACCAGGTCTTCAGGACCTTCTGAAGGACTACCAAGATGGAGGCCAGTGCTTATCTCCAGAGGGGAGGAGCCACCATAGAGAAGGTCCTCCTAGAACAGGAGTTGGCAAGCCACGGCTCTAGAGTTGCATGTGGCTCTTTCATCACCTGTCGCCAGTCGGTAAAAGGGAAAAAAGTACGCTGGGCTAGGAGGAGACTGAATGGTGATGGGGAACCGGACTTCCGGTCAGCCAGGGGAGGGGGAGCTTCCGGTTGGGACCTTTTGTGGCTCTTTGAGTGTTTTTAAGGTTGCTGACCCCTGCCCTAGATGGACCTCTTTAAAGAGGGGACCCCCATAAAACCTCCTGCCTTCCAGCTCTGGTGAGTCGGGTGGATGTCGTTTGAAGATTGTCCTTCAAATGACAGAGGGAGCCACCACAGAGAAGGTTCTTCTACCTGGTCCCACCAGACGGACCCATCCTATATCTGCCTCTCTGATCTGGTGGGTTAAGGAGATGTCCCTGGGGGAAGATGGCCCTTTGAAGAACCTTTTGAAGGAGCCACCACGGAGCAGGCCTTTCCTCTGAGTCCCACCAGACGGACCATCTTCAGAGAGGATGTCAGGATTCCGGCAGTTACCCCCTCCATTTAAATCACGAGTCTCGAGCCAAACTTCCAAAACTTCCAAAGGATTTATTGGGAGTTAACATGCCGGCGCTGCCTGGGTGCAGCCGACTCTGAGACACATCATTCCTTGTCCCCCTTGACCCTGGTTTCCCCCACCCCCAACCCGCTGGGTGTATCGTAATTCATATCCTCCAATGGGACACCTCCATAGCCCAGAGTCATCCATCAGGCTCTCCAGTTAGAATTTTGCACGGCAGGAACTTCAGTCTAGCCTAGTTTCTATTTCTGAAAAACTATGCATGGAATACGCTTTCAATTTCCAAGCTGCCGCACTGCTCTTTCAAACCCCTTCCCCCACCTCCCTTTCTGTTGGCAGCTCTAAAAAGACCACAGAAATAGTTTAGGAGCTGACCGAAGGAGACCATGGGTGGGATTCTACCAGTTCACACCAGTGTGGGCGAACCAGTTGTGCAGGTGATCATTTGACCCTGCCCTAGTCTGTCCTTTATTTCCGCGTTTTGCAACTCCACCGATTCGCACGACACAGCGGATTGCCGTGCCTCCGGTGTTTTACTCACTGGACTGCAGTAGAAGGTAAGTGTTAGATCTGAAACACTGATTTTTCAAACGGTGCGCGTGCACAAACCACACATTTTGGTGCACGCGCAAGCAAAGCCAAACTGGTTGTTACAGCGGTTGAATCCCACCCATCACACCTCCTTCGCCCCAGCTCTGAAGGGTTGGGTGGATGTAACTAATGGACCTGGTCTTCCATGGATCTTCTCCACCAGGGGTTCAAATTCAAACCACGATTCATGGTTAGGGATCTTGGATCCGTTCCAAGACCTTCGGATGCCCGGAGAAGGAATTGACGCCATATTGCCTCTTACAGGGAGTCCTCGACTGATGACGATGGGGGTGCCCCAAATCTCAGCAGCCACCCGAGACACGTCGTTGCGTTCCACCCCATTTGATGACCTTCCTGCCCGCCGTCGTTAAGCAAAGTGCAGCAGTCATTTGGGGAACAGGGCTTCCCCATCGGCCGCTTGTCGGAAGGTCGCCAAAGGGGCACGGAGGGAAATAACGTGACCTACCCAGGGACGTTGCAACCCGTTGTAACCCCAAGTCGGTGGCCGTGCGTCTGCGTTTGGGTGGCGGGGAACGCAGCGACGGTCATAAGGGTGGGAAAAATGGCCATCAGTCGCTTTTTCCCCCCCCCCGGGCACGATTTTGCAACTTGAGATGGTCACTAGATGGGAAGTCGTAAGTCGAGGACTGGCTGTAAGAAGTATTGTGCTTTCATGGCGACGGAAGGAGGGATTTTAGCTAATAAAAAAAGGAAGGCAGGACCGTTCCTTCCGTCACTCAGCTCCACACACCGCCACAATTTCAAAAGAGAGTAAAGGTGCTAGACCTCATGATTGGTGGAATCGCTTTTTCCGCTCTTCCAGGAGCCAGAGAGGTTTGAGGGTTCAAGGCAAATGCTGGTTTACCGGCTCATTGGCCAGTGGAGCACAAAGCCGTCCCGGGTCTTAGCGAAATCCGGCTGGGTCATGTTGTCACAGCGGGCAACTGTCACAAAGTGTTTCCGGCTCTTTTGGCTAAGCGGGATGCGGTCGGACACCGTAACTTGAAGGTCTCGCTTGAGCCTGCACAGAGAGGGGAAAAAAGGGGGTTGGAAACAAAAAAAAAAAAGGTCCAGCAGAGAAAAAGGCACAAACCATGGTTTGTTTAATCCTGGTTGGTTGAAATATGTGGTTTTCGGTCAGGGTTCGCAAGCAGAAATATGGAATGGTGGGAAATGTGGCAATTTAGGGCCAATTTAGGACATTTATATCAGGACTTCCACTCCCAGAATCCCCCAGCCACAAAGTGTGAAAAATGGTCCCAAGTGTTTTTTCAGTGCTGTTCTCACTTCAGTCACTAAATGGATCATTGTAAATCAAGGACTGCCTGGACGAAGGCCCCGGGGCCATAAATCCATCCTCATATTGGGAGACCGAGGAAATCATTCGGCAGACCAGGATTTAACCCAGATCTAAACTTAGCCTGATAACTCTCTCTCTCTCTCTCTTCCCCCAGGCAACCATCACCATGGCAACTAGGTGCTAGCTGACTACCATGGCAACCAGAGCATCCTTAGTTCCCAAACTTTCCCACTGGACCAGGAGCAAAAAACCCCAAACAAACCAGGATGAACGACAGAATCCTGGTTTGCCAAATGAGAAAGCAATGATCAGACCTCCCAATCCAGCATTTCTGAGATCCTCGACTTACAATGATCTGTTTAATGACCATCTAAAATCAAAAAGGCCCACAACAGCAGGGATTCCCTTAATCAGTGACGGAAGAAAATAGGGCAAAACTCACAACATATTGTCTCGCTTAGCAACAGACCTTTTTGGCTCTATTGTGGGCATAAGTCGAGGACTGCCTATACAAATTATCCCTCATTAAAGGGGGTCTTTTGTAGACCAAATATTTGCCTTTAAGCTTTTTTCCTTTCCTTTCCTTCCCTTTTCTTCTTTCCTTTCCTTTCTTTTTCTTTCTTTTCTTTTCCTCTTCTCTCCTCCCTTTTCCTTTCCTTTTTTCTTTTTCCTTCCCTTTCCCTTTCTCTTTTCCTTTCTTTCCTTTCTCCTTCCCTTCTTTCCTTCCCTTCTTTCCTTCCCTTTCCTAACTCCATCTTTCCTGTTTTTCTCTTCTTTCTTCTCTTCTTTTTCCTTTTCTTTTTCTTTAACTTTCTATTTTCTTTTCCTCCTCCTCCTCCTCTTCCTCCTCCTCCTCCTCCCTCCTCCTCCTCCTCCCCCCCTTTTCTTTTCCTTCCTACACAATTTTACCTGCTCGCTCTCCCTGTCCATCTCCAGATGACTCAAACAAAACCAAACTAAATTCAAGGGTGTGAAGTCATCCTGATTTCTGTCTGATGAAGGGCTGTTCCCCATTTCAACGTGGCACGGCAAAAACCGAAACACAGAGAAGCTTTCACAGAAAGGAGGTCAAAAAAAGTCAAGATGGCCACCGGTGCAATGCAGACATTCATACGCTCCGGGGTGAGATTCTACTGGCTCGGACCGGTTCAGGCGAACCGTTTGCTCCGAGGTTCAGCTGTGAGGATCAGCCGTCTCTATTCTGTGTTTTATATCTTGCTTGTCAAGCTTAGCTGATTCGTGCGGCACAGCAGATTTCTCTTGCTAAGGGAGATGTTGTTTAGTGAAATTTTGTCCCATTTTACAACCTTCCTGGCCACCATCACTAAGGGAATCCTTGCTGTTGTGATGCGGTCGTTATAAGCGGCTTCCCCGCCGGCTTGTCAGTAGGTCATTAAGAGGGGAATCCGGCGACCCCAGGAATGCTGCGACTGTCGTAAAGATGAGTCGGCAGCCAAGCATCTGAATTTTGAGCATGGGATCCGGCAACGGTCACAAGTGTGAAAAATGGTCGTAAGTCCCTTCATTCCTTGGACGTGGTCCCTAAATGGACTGTAGTACGTCGAGGACTGCCTGCCGTTGAAAATGAGGGTTTGAGCTTAGCTTCAAGAGCCTTTGGGGGTGTGTTAGGTGACATAGCAGCATGGTCCAGGAAGGCTGTGGATGATGGGTGCTGTAGTCCCTCCCTCCTTCCTGGATTACGGGGTGGACCCTCTGCTGAGGAAGCTAAGATCTGACCTCGGTTTTTGTGCTCTGATTTGACAAAGATTTTCCAGAGGAAAACCGGCATTTTCTGCCTCCCCGGTCACTGACCGATCTTCTTTCTCTTCCTCGTCTTCCTCGCCCTTCCTTTTTTTCTCTCCCCTCCCTCCCTGCTCTTCCTTTTTTAAAACTCTGATCCACTCGTGAGCTTTCCGGCAGTTACCTAGCAACCCTCCCAAAAGAGGTTTCTCACATTTATTCAAAGTGGGGCAGCAGACCTCTGACTCTTCCGGCTGTGCGAGAAGATATACGGAGAAAGATGAAACTCAGGATGCTGGTGGGGGGCCCCCCAAATTGGACACAGATGGGGTACAGGTCCCCATCAAGTCCCTTCCCAACCTGGCAAGCCGTACTCAAGGAGTCGTCGTCCTTAATGGGTCTAAGTCTACATGGAGGGAAGGAAGCAGTGGGGTGCCACAAGGTTCCCTCTTAGGCCCAGGACTCTTCAATATCTTCATGAACGACTTAGATGAGGGAATAGAAGGGGAACTTACCAAATTTGCAGATGATACTAAGCTGGCAGGAATAGCTAACACCCCAAAAGATAGGCTCAAGATCCAGATGGATCTTGACAGACTAGAACCCTGGGCTGTATCTAACAAAATGAAATTCAATGTAGAGAAAAGTAAAGTCCTACAGTTAGGCAAGAAAAACCCAAAGGACACATATAGATTGGGTGAAACCAGGCTCAATAGCAGGAACTGGGAGGGGGATCTTGGAGTCTTAGTGGACAACCAGCTAAATAGGAGCCAACTGTGTGCAGCAGCAGCCAAAAAAGCCAATGCAATCCTAAATTGCATTAACAGAGGGATACAATCAAGATCAAGTGAGGTACTATAAAGCCTTAGTAAGGCCACACCTGGAGTACTGCATCCAGTTTTGGTCAACACATTATAAAAAAGAAGTTGAGATTCTAGAAAAAGTGCAGAGAAGAGCAACCAGGATGATTAGGACTGGAGGCTAAAACATACGATGAATGGTTGCAGGAACTGGGCCTGGCTAGTCTAGGGAAGAAAAGGACCAGGGGAGACAGGAGAGCACAGTTCCAATATTTGAGGGGCTGCCACAGGGAGGAATGGGGTCAAGCTATTTTCTAAAGCGCCTGTAGGCCAGACAAGGAATAATGGATGGAAACTGAACAAGGAGAGATTCAACCTGGAAATAAGGAGAAACTTTCTGACAGTGAGAACAATCAACCAATGGAACAGCTTGCCCTCGGAAGCTGTGGAAGTGCCATCACTTGAGACTTTCAAGAAGAGATTGGACTGCCATTTGTCAGAAATGGTGTAAGGTCTCGCGTTTGGGCACGGGGTTGGACTAGATGACCTACAAGGTCCCTTCCAACTCTGATTATCTGTATCTGTATCTGTAATTCTATATTTTGGGGTTTGAACTGTGGAACTCTGAGTATCCTAGACCAAGCCAAGTCCCAAAAATGCTAGGGAATTGCTAGAAATGTAGAACTCAGACGAAAGCAGCCATCAACAGACACAGAGAGGTAATGTTTACACGCCTTTGAAAACAGACAATAAACTCTAGAACAGACAATATAGTCCCTATAACAGCCACTATGTAGGACAAACAGGGAGAAGACTTATGGAACACATCCAGGATCAGAAGATCAGAAGACACAATGAAAACTCCTTAATTGCACAACCCATGGACAGACGCAACCATAGTTCCAACTGGGAAACTGAGCATCATAGACCTAAGCCAAGTTGGAAAATATTACAGAATTCTTGGATGCCTGGCGTTCAGACAAGGCAGCCATCAACGGACACAGAGAGGTAAATAACGTTTACATGCCTTTAAAAAGAGACAATAAAATCTAGAACAGATAACGTAGAGATTGTAACAGCCATCAATGAACAGAGAGAGATAAATGATGTTTACACACCTTTGAAAAAAGAATAAAATCTAGAACGTAGGGATTGTTACAACCGCTATGTAGGGCAGATGGGTGGAAGGCGAATGGAACACATCCACAAACACAAGACCAAATTTTACCCTTGTTGTGGCACCAGAGAAAAAGCGAACAACAACAAAGCTGGGAGTCCTTTTTTTGCTTTGTGCTAACACCTCCATTTTGGCAAGCTCTCTGCCACATTGTCACAACTTCAGAAGTGCAAACGAACGTCTAAATAAATGGATTTAGGATCGCGCCGAGCTGTTAGCTTTAAGTCTCACGCTTTGAAATTTCACAGTTTCACAGCAGAAGTGCAACCGAGACAAGATATATCTCTGTTTGTGTGTTTGTGTTAATTATACTGAGTTTTCTTTTGTTAGGAAATTAAAAATGCAAAGCTGTGGTCATATTGGCTAAGAAGTTTGTTTCAAGGTTGCAAGGTTCATTTTTTGAATTGAAGCCAATTTGGTCTAGGTGACAAAATGCTGGCACGAGAGCAGGGAGACGTGAGTTCTAATTCTGCCTGAAGCATGCAACATTAGCAGCAAGTTGGTGAGTTCGAGTCCCGCCTTAAGCAAAAAATCATACTGGGTGACCTTGGGCCAATCAAAAGGAGACTGGGAGTTCTAGTTCTGCCTTTGGGATGAAAACCAGCTGGGTAACATTGGGCCAATCACCAGGAGACGGTGAATTCTAGTCCCACCTTAGGCATGAAAGCCGGATGGGGGATTTGGAGGCAGCACAACCCACCTCACAGCATCCTTGTTCTGGGGAAAATAGAAGGAGGAAGCGCTTATGACCGTCTGTGCATGCACAGGGTGACGGGATCACAACTTGGACTCGTTTAAGAACTGCGTGATTCACTTAACAACCTCCAAATGCTCAAATCTCAACCGACATTCTCCAAGATCATCTCCTAGATACCGAAAGGGGTTAAAGATTCACAGGTGTTACAGAGATAATCAACCTAACCCAAAATACACCAGAAATTAGACCAGCTGTTCTAAAATAGGAGTGTGTGTGTGTGTGTGTGTGTGCGCGTGTAATCTTATTTTAGAACAACTGCTCTAATTTCTTATATATTTGGGGGCAGGTTGATCTATCTACTTTTCTATCTATCTATCTATCTATCTATCTATCTATCTATCTATCTATCTATCTATCTATCTATCTGTCTACCTCTATCTCTCTCTCTCTCTCTCTCTATCTATCTATCTATCTATCTACTATCTCTCTCTCTCTGTGTATACACATACACACTCAATCTATCATTTCCCTATCACCCTTCTTGATGTATTTATATCTATCATCTCTCTCTCTCTTATTTGCCTGCCTGCCTGTCTCTGTCTCTGTCTCTGCCTCTGTCTCTCTCTCTCACCTGGTGGAATGCCATGCTAAAGGACACTGGCCAGTTTCCCGTATTCCCATCAACCGATAAAAACCAATATCTCAACACGCCGTCCTTCAGTCTAGCAACTGGAGTCCATCATCCGCTACGCGCACATGCAGGGGTGGGATGCAAATATTTTTACTACCACTTCTGTGGGCGTGGCTAGGTGGGCGTGGCCATGTGACTGGGAGGGGAGGGGCCGGTCAGGAGCAAGATTTGCTGGTTCCCTGAACTGGGCAGAATCATAACAACCGGTTCTATAGAACTGGTAGAATCCCACCCCTGCGCATAGGGAGGGCTGACAGACGGCAACGGGTGGATATTTACGTGTGCGCATACAGTTCTTGTTTTTGATTTAAAAAAAAAAACAGATCTGGAAGCCGAATCAAATGTACCAATCGCTCTTCCAAACTGGTCAAATGGGTGTTTAACAACCAGCTGCCTGCGCTGTTTGTGTACCACTTAAGAAAAACACAACCTCCTCTTTTGGCAAAAATAAGGGAAGCAATGGTGCTCTGGGCAACGAGAGTGCTTGCAAACTCACAAAAAAATATTATTTCAGCTCCTCCAAAGGCAGATACAAGAAATCCTTGGATAGAGAATCGAGAGAGAGAGAAAGGGGGAGAGAGATGATTGATAGATAGATAGATAATAGGGAGAGAGGGAGAGAGGGAGGGAGAGATATTAGGTAGTTGGGTAGAGAGAGAGATGGATGAATAGATAGACAGATAATAGGTAGGGAGGTAGAGAAAGAGGTTGATAGATAGATAATAAGTAGGCAGATAGGGAGAGAGAGATAATAAGTAGGAAGGTAGGGAGGTAGGAGATAGATTATGAGATAGATCGGGGTCGCCAACCTTTTGGACCTCAGGGACCACCAAACTCATAATTTTAGATCCCAGGGACCACCAACTGGTTCTGTGGGCGTGACCTAATTTGTGGGTGTGGCTTGGCGGTCATGTGACTGGCTGGGCATGGCTTGTATGTAAATATTATAAATATTTAAAATTCGGATTTAATTTAATTTATATTAAATAAATATTGAATATTTTATAAAAATTAGCAACTTTTACCCAAAATCAGGCAAAGCAGGCAGGCAGATTGAGTTGCTCACAGAATCACAGATTCATTCAGAAATCTATCTATCTGCCATTGGCTAGCTCAGTCTGTCACACAAAATTTGCTTGCAAGCAAACTCATAAAATTTGCTAGCAAGCAAACTCACAAAATTAACTCACAACACACCGTATGTAAATATTGATTTTTTTATTAAAAAAGAGCAACTTTTACCCCAAATCAGGCAAAACGGGCAGGCAAATTGAGTTGCTCACAGAATCATTCAGTGATCTATCTATCTGCCATCGGCTAGCTCAGTCTCTCAAATTTGCTTGCCATGTGTATGCACTGAATTTGCTTGCAAGCAAACTTTCAGTCCTCAGAGAGGTTCGGCTGTGCTTAGCTAGAAAGCAAGAAATCCAACCATTTCCTGCTTTCTAGCTAATCTAAATCTCCCGGCACAGCAGAACAGCTGATGGTCGGAAAAAGGAAAAATAGCAACTTAGCAGGCAAGTTTGCCGGGTAAGGAGTGAGTGGGCGGGGAGGGTTCCCGTGGGCCATATGGGCGGGGCAGACTTGTGTTTCTGCACAGCCTGGATTAATTGCTTTGGGGGAGGGTGCTCTGGGGGTGACATTTCTCTGTGGCCCACCAAAATTTTCTCACGGCCCAGATAGATAATAGATAGATAGATGGAGGGAGGGAGGAAGGGAGAGAGAGAGATAATAGGTAGGAAGGTAGGTTAGATAGTTGGATAGAGAGAGGGATGGATGGACAGATAGACAGACAGATAATAGGTAGATAGATAAGGAGAGAGAGGTAATAGGTAGGAAGCAGAGGTGAGTATTCAGCAGGTTCTGACCAGTTCTGGAGAACTGGTAGCGTAAATTTTGAGCAGTTTGGAGAACCAGCAAATTCTACCTCTGACTGGAGATTTTACAGTCTCCTTCCCCTGCCGCACCCACCAAGCCACGCCCACAGAACCGGTAGTAAAAAAAAATGATAGGTAGGAAGGTAAGTAGGTAAATAGGTAGAAAGATGGATGGATATAGATGGATAGCTAGATGGATAGATGGATAGATACAGACAAACCAATAGATCAATAATTAGAAACACAGAGAGGGATGATGGATGGATGGACAGATGGCTAAAAGGAGAGATGGATAGATTGATAAATAAGTTGCACACGTTTATACTCCAAGCAAAGGATTGATAGGCCTCAACTTATAGCCATTCCTTCCCTCGCTGCAAAGTGACAACAGCACTGGGAAACCATCGCCCTCCCTAGTTTTCCACACTTACGACCATCGTGACTTCGCCACGGGGACCTGATATGACGGTTGCCGTTCTCCTGGGCTGCTATTCCTCCGACTTACAGCCCCAATCAGCCTCTGATGGATCACCCTCAATAGAAGCGCCGAACCTCAACTCCCTTAATGACCGCGGCAGTTTGCTTAATGACCATGGCCGAAAGAGGCCGGGGAAAAAAATAATCTGCCGCTGTTCAGCTCAAACGGCTGTCTAGCTGAGCCGCCGTTGGCTCATATTTTCAGTGCATCCTGCAACACTCCCAGCTGCATCCCCAGGGGGTCAACCCAGTGAGTCTTCAACTTACGACTATTCCTTTTAGCGACTGACCCGTAAATGGTGCTAAACAAAAAAAGAAAATGAGCGAAGTCCGTTTTTCGCATCGAACAGCCATCGTGGATTGGAAATTTGGAGGCTGGGTGAGCGACTCGGACTTACAACCGTTGCCCTGACACTGCGACCCTCCGACGAGCAATTCCCTGAAGAGGCTGTGACGGGCAGGGAAATGCAGAGCTCCCTCATCTCGCTTAGCGACGGGAAAGGTCAACTGTGGTCCTAAGTGGCAGGAGGGGCGCATGCGAGAAGAAAGGCCTACCTCCTAAAGTGGTCCACCAGGACTCCAACCAGCTCCCCGACCCGCTGGTCATTGGATGGCTGCATTTGATGGAGGCACACCACTAGGCACCGCTGCTTCTCCAAGTGGAAGACGACCAGCTGGTCCTCTCCGCTGGTGACACTCAGGCCAGACACCTGTCGGGCAAAGGCGTGTTGGGGGAAAAAAGGTCGTTTGGGCAACTCACACTGGAGAGGGGAGGAGGAGGAGGAGGAGGAGGAGGTGTGGTCCTTGGTGCTCTCTGGTTTTCTGGAAGACATTTCATGACTGAACTAGGGAACAGCATCAGTGTTAGGAGGAAGGGGGTTTGGAGAGAGAAAGAGGAGGAGGAGGAGGAGGAGGAGAAAGAGGA